GGTGAAGGGTGGGGGAAGAGGAGGAGAGAAGGGTGAAGGGAGGGGAAGAGGAGGGTGAAGGGCGGGTGGCTTGTGAGGGAGGGGCCCATGCGTGTGCGTGCAGGCATGGTCTCTGTGTTGATATGTAAAAATGTATCCATCTCAAATGCACAATTTTAGTCTCGAATCATTTATAATTATTACCATAATTATTTACCATCTTTCATTTGATATTTCCACCATCACACAGGGAAGTCTGCGCACTCCTGAGCTAACCTGGGAGAAGGTGAGATCACAGGTTGACCACGTGATCTGGCCGGACGGCAAACGCATCGTGCTGCTAGCCGAGGTAGGTCGGTGGCGTCATCTAGTGTGACCGATAGTTAATATATCGTTAAATATATATTAATATTAGCCGGTGACGGTTGTTATGTTCGTTGCAAGTGAACTCGAGGGGGGGGGGTGATGGCGTCCTCTAGTGAGATTTAGTGGTGTATTGTTTGAATGTGTTGTTTAGAGGATTAAAGTGATTACGCCACCGTAAATAGTAAAAATTAAAAAAAACATTTCCNCCTCTCTCCTCTCTATATATAAATATCTAGCTCATGCTAACACTCCTCTCTCTCTCTCTCTCATGTTAACAAAAACTCCTCTCTCTCTCTCATGTTAACACTCTCTCTCTCTCTCATGCTAACACTCCTCTCTCTCTCTCTCGCACAGTATGGAGGGATTCCGTGTGGTGAAGCTGACAGAGGTTGTGCGCAGCATCGACATCCTCATCTCTATATCTGATCGCTCCTCTCTCCTCTCTATATATAAATATCTAGCTCATGCTAACACTCCTCTCTCTCTCTCGCACAGTATGGAGGGATTCCGCGTGGTGAAGCTGACAGAGGTTGTGCGCAGCATCGACATCCTCATCTCTGCTACCGGCAACAAGAACGTCGTCACGCGCGAGCATCTCGATCGTCTGAAGAATGGTTGCATCGTCTGCAACATGGGTCACTCCAACACCGAGATAGATGTGGTGAGTGGGTGGTGGGGGAGGAGGAGGGTGGTGGAGGAGGAGGTGGAGGAGGAGGGTGAAGGGTGGGGAAAGAGGAGGAGGAGAGAAGGGTGAAGGGTGGGGAAAGAGGAGGGTGGCGGAGGAGGAGGAGGAGGAGGAGAGAAGGGTGAAGGGTGGGGAAAGAGGAGGAGGAGGTGGATAGGGAGGAGGAGGAGAGAAGGGTGAAGGGTGGGGAAAGAGGANGCCACAATATAAATATAAGTTAATTTCTACCCCTATATATATATTTATTAATATAAGTTAATTTCTACTCCTATATATATATATATATAAATATAAGTTAATTTCTACCCCTGGTCTCATGTCTCGTGTCTCAGGGTCGTCTCGTGAACCTGAGCTGCTCCAGCATCCCGTCGTTCGTCGCTTCGATCACGGCGTGCACGCAGGCTCTCGCGCTCATCGAGATGTACAACGCGCCGCCGGGACGCTACAAGCAGGACGTATACCTCCTGCCGAAAAAGATGGGTGAGTGTCAGGGGGCGCCACCGCCGCCCGCCACGATGGTGAGGGCGCCACCGGGTAGGGTGGCGGGGGAGGGTGTTGGACATTATGGTATTGCAGGAGGAGAGGGAAAGGTAGAGAGGGAGAGGAGCATATCGGAGGGGGAGGTGAGGATACCGAGGAGCAGAGGTGAAGGAGTTGAAATAGGAGGAAGGTCAGAGTATTGTAGAGAGCGAAGTGAACGTGTGAGAGTGGGAGGGAGGTCTGCTACCGTCGTGAGCGAGGTGAACGTGTGAGAGTGGGAGGGAGGTCTCCTACCGTCGTGAGGGAGGTGAACGTGTGAGAGTGGGAGGGAGGTCCGCTACCGTCGTGAGGGAGGTGAACGTGTGAGAGTGGGAGGGAGGTCCGCTACCGCCGTGAGGGAGGTGAGCGTGTGAGAGTGGGAGGGAGGTCCGCTACCGTCGTGAGGGAGGTGAACGTGTGAGAGTGGGAGGGAGGTCCGCTACCGCCGTGAGGGAGGTGAACGTGTGAGAGTGGGAGGGAGGTCCGCTACCGTCGTGAGGGAGATGAACGTGTGAGAGTGGGAGGGAGGTCCGCTACCGTCGTGAGGGAGGTGAATGTGTGAGAGTGGGAGGGAGGTCCACTACCGTCGTGAGGGAGGTGAACGTGTGAGAGTGGGAGGGAGGTCCACTACCGTCGTGAGGGAGGTGAACGTGTGAGAGTGGGAGGGAGGTCCA